CGACTACTCTTCCTCAAAGAACTTAATAATGTTAAACAAACACTAATCAAAAACGGCTTCCCTAACCACCTTATAGACTACCAAATTAGACTTTTTCTCCCCAAAGTAAGTAATAACGATAGTGAACATACAGCCAAAAATCACATAAACATTTTTTACAAAAACCAAATGCATATTAATTACAAACAAGACGAATCTTCTCTAAGGCATATTATAAAGAAATATACTACTCCAATTGACCCGAATAAAAAAAATCAAATTAATTATTTATTATAAAATTTTAAGACAGCTAACCTTATCCTCAAAAATAACAACACACTAGCTAAGTCAAAATTACAAAGAACGAACATTATCTATGAGTTCAAATGCCCGTTAAGGAACTGTGTTACTGATCAAACCGGACTCCTAAATAATTACATCGGTTACACAACTACATGCTTATCCAGACGTCTTACATTACACCTATCTGATCACAGCTCCATTAGAACCCATTTAAACACACACACAAATTTACCAGACTCCGTTAGGAACATACTAGTAGAAAACACAAATATATTAACTGCATCCACCTGCAAAAAAAAAAGACTAAAAATAATGGAAGCTTTAATAATAAAAAAGAAAAAAAACAACTCTTAACAATATTAACTACGAACAAAGCCACAATGTGCTAACCGTATTCGGAAATTAAAAACATCCCTACCACACACTAAGACATACACATAACGCACACACCCAATTAAGCTGAAAAATCGAACCTACCTTGATAATGGCTAAAGGTATAGCCGAAAGCGCTCGGAAATATAAAACATTTGGACAGTTCTTACGCACTCTTTTTTTCCAGAAAAGAAAGCTCTTGTTCGAACACAAGAAAAATGAAATAAAATGCTTAACCGTAGTACCTTGTCTGTCGTTTTAATGAAACATGCATATATATATATATATATATATATATATATATATATATATATATATATATACGAGTTCTGATCAAAAAGTAGCGATATTGTTCCTATAGTAACGGAGCAAAGTAAAGTACGCAGAGTGAAGTCGTTTGGGAGCTTGTACTCTTTCGTGCATGCTCACTAAGTCATAACGCTCTCGCTTCTGTTGTTTATAGTATTTACTTGGAAGGAAAACATCTAAAGTGTGGTCGTCTCACAACACTACAGATTTTCCATCAGTGACCTTGGCTTGTGCAGAAGTTTATTCTCGAAGCATAGAATTTCCTAGGTCCGGGAATCACCATATTCCACAGATGTCGCTCATTGAGACGTGTTCCATTTTAAAAATCAAATCTCACTTGAAAAGAACAAGATTTCAAGACATCGAGGAAATTCTAGAGAATACGACGTGGTAGCTGCTCGCTATCCCGAAAAAAAAGGAGTTCCAGTGTTGTTTTCATTGATGAAAAAAACACTGGAAAATGGATGTCGCTTCAGAAGAGGACTTTTCCAAAGGTGATTAAATGCCGAATTAATTTTTTTGTTTTGTTTTATTTTTATAGCACAAGTCCTGATACTTTGTTTTTTATCAAACCTCATATATATATATATATATATATATATATATATATATATATATATATATATCCCTATTATATGTATATATATATGTCCCTCGCTAATTTATTTACACGATTATTTCCCTCCCCTCGTTACAAATATATACACTTGTTTTTTTTTTTTTAGTGTATTTCCCCCGTCTTTTTGCTCTTCATTGTCGTTAATATTCTTTTCGTTGATCCAACGATTGTCTCCTGATGAGATGTTGGTTGAAATGGCTTTAGGGACTTTTAAAATTAAAATCAATACATTCCTTGTTTTTTAAAACTATATATATATATATATATATATATATATATATATATATATATATATATATATATGTGTGTGTTGTATTTTTTTATTTTTTTGTATACATATATATATATATATATATATATATATATATATATATATATATATATATATAAACGAATGGCTAAATATAAGTAGGTATACGAGCGAGCGATTAAGAAATACTCGTTAATAATAATATTAATAAATATAATAATTTGGAAAATTTATGCAAGTTGGGAATAACTGTTATGAAATTACATGACGAATAGAATGTTAACGTCTTTTACATAATCTTTTATATAATCTTTTATATAATCTTATAACTTTTTATATAATATAATTACCCAGTAATCTTAAAGAATTAAAATATTTTTAGCATTCTAATATTTTAGCAAATTTTAGGTACTTTATAATCTTTATTACGAAGACGCTTGTTGAAGAAATGTTAGAATATTACCAATAAATAAAAAAAAATAAAACAGAAGCATTTAAAAAATATTTTCATTAATTTTTGAATAGTCTTAAAAGTTTCATTAAAATCCGACAATTAGCTGATTTTTGCAAGAACTTCCAATTCAACGTGTTTTTAAACGCAAAAAAAGACGCTTACATTTCCCGTACAAATTTAAGAACCCAAGATTACGTCAGAAAAACAGGATTTTTTTTACCAACACTGTGAAGGTTCTAAAAGGATTAAAAAAATAGAATTTAAAAATAAAAAATAATTTGGTCGTTCCTCTTAGTCTTAATAATAACATAAAGCGTACAACTGCCTCTTCTTCCCTCTCTCTCTTTCTCTTTCTCTTTCTCTCTCCCTATGTTTATTTAGTAGACATCCCCGCTTTTAAATTTAAATTTTACAATACAGTGATGTCTAACATGTGTACCAATTAAATATAAGTGTCATAGAAATAAGAATAGATTAAAAATCGATTAATTGCATTAAAATGACTTAGTTTCCGTTTCGGTTACGAAAATATACGTCGATCAAACACTGTCAGTCTCTCTTTTGTCTATTAAGCCTTGTGGCTAGTTTCTTTTGTCGAATAAGTAGTTTAATGCGCGGCCGAAACTTGTAAAAGGAACGCAAAATGTTTAAAGTATTTTTGACCATCGTTGGTTGTTTCTAAGAAGATAGAAAGTGGAAGATAACCAGTGGAATGCTTCTGTTGTAAACAATTTAAAATTTGAAATAAACGTGTGTCCACGTGCTACGGATGTGAAATAGATTACAGCGTCACGTGGCAAAGATGACCTTAAGGTTCTTATCTGCCACTAGAAGAAATTCGGCAAAAATCAGACAATCCCTGTCCGACTTATTAAATTGAAGGCACACACACACACACACACACACAAACACGCACACACACAAACGCACACACACACACAAACGCACACACACACAAACGCACACACAGATACAAACAAAAACACACGTCATAAATTAACATATTTCGTATTTTTTGGACAAAAGAATTAACATCTTTTGAAAAAATATAATTTTGATTACGACAGACAAGTTGCTTTTATTTAGTTTTTTTATACAATTTTTCATGCGATCTAATAATTTCTTTCTTTTCAGATGATAAATGTCCGAATTTTCTTTTTATCCGAGCGCTTTCGACTATACATTTAGCCATTTTCAAGGTTGAAATATTTTAACTGTTTAATCCTTGAAAATGGTTAAATATATAGCTAATATATATCCAAAAGCTCTGGGATAATAAGAACATTCGAACAGTTTTTGTATAATTTATCATCTGAAAAGAAAAAAAATATAATTACATCTCATGAGAAATTGTATAAAAACTAAATAAAAGCAGCTTCTTTGTCGTATTCAATGAAATATGTCATATGAATATATATATATATATATATATATATATATATATATATATATATATATATATATATATATATATATATATGTATGTATACCGATTAATAAATAAACGCAGAGTCTACACAAATATTAGTAACCACTAAAAATAACGAGTAAAGTGATCACATATTTCGGATTAATAAAATGAATTTAAAATTTCAGTTAACTCTTTAAAAATTGCTTTGTTTACGTTTGGATACGAACCTAAGTAGTAATGCTAATTTTAATTCTTGAATACTGAACTTTTACTTTTTTACATTAAATAAACATTCAAATGGAACGATGAAAGTTGCAAAAGCAAATCTAGGGAAACGCAAATAGATTATTTGATGATTATAAATTGAACAGAACTGAAGTTCATATCATCGAATGTTGATCCTACTGCCTAAATTCCCTATTCCGTGTTATTCAGTTTGTTTGCTTTTTTTTATAATTTCCAGTTAAGGTATTTTTCTTCTATCGTGCAGATAACATAGGTGTAATGAAATATAAAGTAATGGTAATGTCAGAGGACATAGACTTGAAAAGGGGATGAAAATAGAGTCAGCACTAAAAATACAAAAGTGATTATTATTTGAATTTTTCTCTGTCGACAGAACATGACATGACATTCTATTTGTAATCATTGGAGGGAATGAAACTTTTGACGTATTTACTTAACAAGCCATACCTCTAGCATCGCTGGTTGAAAAAGCAGACAAAATATAATGATGACACAATATACGACAGTTTTGTCAAAGATCATAAACTCAAATTAAATCATTATCTCTGTGAATTTCTGGAATGAGAAGTTACTATTTACTTTATTTTAACCCATTATATCCCGTCTCAGGTAGCTAGTCTTCCCAGGCACTAACTCTCCTCGGGAGAAATCTAATCACTTGAGGCAAGACAAGACTATACTTGAAACCTGTTCCTACTTGGATGTCTCGTGTGGGATTCTTACTTTAAACTCAAGTTTATGCCTGTTTCCGTTCGAGTAGAATGCGGATAATTACGTTATTTACTGAGCAGTACTAAATTGGCATTGAGTGATTCGTTTTTATGACTTATAAACCATATTTGAAACCAGAAAATATTTTAAAAATTGTAAGAATTGATTTTTGTGATAATATAGTGATACAAGGCTTGCTAATTAACTCATAGCTAGGGTAGAATAGGTGGATTCATACCTTTGCCAAGGGTATTTGTGCGTAAGTAAATATAACGAACACAACAGGAATTAGAACTCGCTAGAACTCCGAGCGATTATCATCCATTACACCACCCGCAAATCTAAGCTTACAGCACCTGGTATTCCCAAGCAGTCACCCATCGAGGTACTGACCACGTTCGACGTTGCTTAATTTCGGTGATCGTACGGTATTTCAACGTGATTTGGCGGTAGCCTGGATAACTAACAAAGACAATGTATCCCTGCGATATAAGAGATTAATATGTTTGGAATTAGTTGAAACAGTATTATGTTCTATTTACTTAATATTAAAACTTCTAAGAAAGCATTTTATTTGTTTATCAACTATATAGTTTGGAAAGCTATTATTCATAAGTGTTTGTTTTATGTTCTTTAGTTCACTGAAAAAATAAATAGACAAAACTTGTCTATATTATTTAATGAAAAATTGCTACCTAAATATACACAATATATATATATATATATATATATATATATATATATATATCTTTTTTCCTGACGAATTCTTCGTTGCTTTCATGTATTCTAAGCATTCAATTGTAGAACCACATCTCTGATACTCTTGCAGTGAGGATATTGTCCAGTATTCACTGTCATATAGGGTATTGGATAATAAACTGCAATTCAGCACTCTGCATTGTTTATAAGGAAATTTTCATATTTATTAATATTATGCCTAGTTTCTGGAAGGCATCTTTTGCTATTTCTTCAGATTTATTTCGTCTTTTACTACAGTGCACATATGCAGATTTCTGCAGCTGCTTGGTTTTGACTTTCTCAGATACAGCTCACCCTTCGGCGTGTCAGGCATTCTTATAGTTCATAGTCCTTTCGTTTTGATTTCCTTTATTACCTTATCTAAGTTTTTTTTTTTATGAATCAGCCATCGAATTTCATTCATCATTCAAACTAACTCATTTATTTCCGACAGAAAACACATAAATCCCCTTTATTTGACGTTCTTAGAATAAACTTGCAGTTTATTCCTCGGAAATAAAGGGTAGAAAATGAAGTTCGCTATAATTTTTCCAAAATGTAAACACACAAACACACACGCGTACATACACGCGTGTGCATGTGTTAAATAGTAGGTAGCCTCTCAAGAGATCTGAGCTTTTATCTAAACACAGAAGAAGCCTTTACTAGTACTTTTAAATTTGCATCATCGTTTTACGTGTAACCAGCTTTTATTCTCATAAGTATTCAGTTTGCTGAAAGAAGTTAATGTTTTCATATATTTATGTGTGCTGCCAAATGTATTTTGTTGCAGACATATTTAGAGAGATTAAACACATTGCTTCAACATTATAACAATCTTTATTCGTATTTTCTCGAAGGCTTCAAAAGATGGCATGCATAACCGGTTCCTTTGACCAATCCCTTCAGTGACCGAAAGCAAGTAGCAAGTGCACATATGAGAGCCTTTCTTCGGATATCAAAGGTTGACTAAATGGGACAAGTTACAATCACAGAGTGGAATTCGCACTCAACAAGATCGATTACACAGTTTTTTTAGAAGCTGCTGGCAACACTAACGATGACTCAGTGCACAGAGACTCTAACCAAGTTAGGAATAGGTTATAATAATTGTTGCCTCGATCCCTCTTTCAGTGATCGGCTATGGGTCTGTAGAGATATGCAGCTGAAGACAATAGCAGGCATACGCGCAAAAATATGCACCTTTTAAGGAAACTGCAAAACTTCCTACAAAAATTAGCGATGGGAAGCGAGAAGAAAGGACTAAACATAAACTACAAGGCTACAAAATGCAAAAGGATGAGCGCAAATTGCAAATTACAGGTCGGGGATACTAAAATCAATAGGTACAGAAATTTAAATATCAGGGAAGTGTTTTAACAGAGGAAACTGAGACTCGAAGACGTATTGGAATGGCCAAAGTTGCAAAGTTCCAACAGCTAAGCAGAGTATTAAGTGACAGAAATGTTTCGATGGAAACAAAGAAAAGAATACTGGATTGTTCCATGATATCTGTCTTCTTGTATGGCAGTGAGTGCTGGACAATCTCCCCAAGGAAGACACGTGAAGCAACAGAAATGTGGTTCAACCGAAAGTTGCTGAGTATACCATGGGCCTAACATGTGGGAAACAACGAAGTTCTGGAGAAAATGGAAGCAAAAAGAAAACTTATACTTCACATCAGAAAGAGGCAGTTGAAATTTCTGGGGCATGTAATGAGGAAAGAGGGCTTGGAAAATCTGATACCCACAGGACAGATTGAGGGAAAGATGGACAGAGGAAAGCAACGCGTAATATACTTGAGAAAATGGATGGTAGAAGAGAGATTGGGAGAAATAACAAAAAGATAAAATTTATTAAGGGTTACAGTGGACAGGAAGATGTAGAGGGCTATGATCGCCTACGTTCTTAAAAGAAGAAAGAATGCAATTAAGCAATTTTGATACATGAGTGAAAAGGCTCTATTCTTAACCTACCAACAAAAATATATTTAAAATAATACTTACAGAGAAATTTACTAACCTTTTTAAATATATTTAAAAGAATTTAAGCGTAGTACTAGATTAGCGGCAAGGTCTAATCATTTTACAGTTGAAATGGCGAGATGTAATCGTAAGATATATATGCTAACAGTTTATATATATATATATATATAGAGAGAGAGAGAGAGAGATAGATAGATAGATAGATAGATAGATAGATAGATAGATAGATAGATAATATAGTATAGTATAGGTGGCCACTCGTATTCGAGGGCCTACTAGGGCGGCCAGCTAATCCCTGTTGCAGATGCTTACTCAGGCGCATTTTCTGTTTATTCAACACTCACAGAGACTACCTATGGTTTATACTGCAATTATGATGAGCAAACCTTAGTTACGGTTTCTGGGAGAGAGCGTGTTATCTAGCGTTATCAACAATCTGAACAAAGTCAGCACGCTTAAGTTATATATATATATATATATATATATATATATATATATAAAATACATCCCTACCAAAACGTAACTAATAACTGATACATCAAAATACAGCTATAATGAACACCCAAACACCCCTTGTCTGGTTGAATTGGATTTCTCTGTATCCTTGGAAACGTGAATTATGATTTTTGCTTTGTCTTTAAAACCCAATAAAGTTACTCCAAAAAATTCTCTTGAGGATGAAATGTAACTAATGTCTTTAATTTAATTACAAAATTAAATTGGACTTTCAGCTTCCATTTTTGAAACATGGTTAGAACTGTGTAGCAAAAAAAAAACATATTTTAAATCAATTAATTTATAATATTAATGTCTTTAAATTTACATTGAGCACTATTTTTTCAAAAATAAAATATCTATAAGAACACCGGATTATATATCTTACTGTTCTTTCTTTTTTATTTATATATACAATATATATATATATATATATATATATATATATATATATATATATATATATATATATATATATATTGCGATTTGAATTTTCCAATGACTCATAAGTCTTAAGTTAATGGATGAATAAGCTCATTGCGTGTTATACGATAATAAAATATCCGATATAATTACTTATTAAACTTATTAAAACAAATAAAATTAAATTTAATAACAAAAGGTGTTTGAGTCGACATTCTGTTATTTATTTATTTTTTTTTTTTAACAGCGGAGTTAATTTTACCGGCCAGGAGATTGAGAAGACATGTTAAAGAAATTATATCGCACGGCAGGAATTAAACCTGCTTTGCATTTATTTTGCCTAAATTTCCATTCATTTTCTTGGATTCAAGTCAAAGTTTAGATAAGGACATGTCTATATTTTTGTTTTATTGGGTATTGTTTATATCATAGTTTATCAAATCTTACATATTCATGTCAATTTTGATCGTAAACAATGTAAATTGTCCAAAATAAAGAAAAAAATTCCTTAACAAAGAATTTTCATTTTTGTTTTTAACCAAAATTTTGTACACACACACGCGTGCGCACACACACACAAACACACAGGCACACACACACGCACACAAACAAACACACACGCACATACACACACATATATTTCCGTACTAAGCTGAGTTTAATAAATATTTATGCGTGTATATGCACAGGTGGGGAGGCTTTGAAGTGAGTGGCCTACCTTGAAAGTGTGTGCATCTGCTTATGTGTGTGTATGTGTGTGTGTGTTTGTTTGTGCGCGTGCGCGTTTCGTCAAGAGTGGGGTGGGTGGCCTTCCTCAACGGTAGATATCTTACCTTATAGCTAAGAATGTTAGACATTTCCTACCCGTACTATAGTTTGCTCCCAAGTAAATCACTGGTGACGGATTTTCTAACCAACTATGCAGTATTTAACTTTAAAGAATGGCGTAACACAATCTTCTAACCTGGCGTCTCTCTCTCTCTCTCTCTCTCTCTCTGGCTGCATGTGTGTGTCTGTGTGTGTGTGTGTGTGTGTGTGTGTGTGTGTGTGTGTGTATGTGTATCTGTATCTGCGGGTGCGTGTCTGTGTATGTGCGTCTCTGTATGTCTGTGTGTGTCTCTATGTGTGTATCTGTGTGTGTGTGTGTATAACGTTATGTTTTTCTTTACAGCTCTAAAGTTCAGTACCTCTAAAACTTTCCATGACAAATCAGATTACATTTAATCTTTGATAAAAGATTATGTAAATTCAGTTAAAGTTTATTTGCCATTCTATTAATGTCGACTTCTCATAAAATAGAATTTACATTCATTTTAATCACATGCATCAAACAGCAAAAGTATGCAAAGTTTTCTTGCGCAGACAGCAAAATAATATTGGCATTATATGACCATCATATTGCATTCACTGACATCTTTATATTTACTTAATTTCCTTAATAAACTAAAACGCTTCGTATAAAGCCTCGTGTTTTTGTTGGTGATGTACTTTATTTCTTTTGAATGGAAAGTGAAAACAAGTAGCAGACACCCTGCTGATATTATGCAGTATAAATACAAGACATATATATCTGGGTTAAATAATTCAGTTTGACAAGCAATTCCTTTACCCAGTGAAGCCATAGCACACGTCAAAAATATTCGCTGATTTAAGAAGAAAAAAGTCAAAGAATTATTTATTTATTTATTTGTAAAATATTAAACATCGTGCCTCGTTTCCGTTTAGCAAAAACTTTCTATCTAGTAAATCGAAAGATAAAATTGTGTTTGTTTTTCTCTAAAAAGTTAACA